CCCTAAGTGTCTTTTGGCCATTTGCGATTCTTCTGTTAAGAGTTCTCTGTTTAGTTCTGTAACCCACTTTTAAATTGGATTATTTGGTGTTTTGATGTCTAATTTCTTGAGTTCTTTATATATTTTGGAGATCAGTCCTCTGTCTGATGTGGGGTTGGTGAAGATCTTTTCCCATTCAGTAGGATGCCTTTTTGTCTTATTGACTGTATCCTTTGCTTTACAGAAGCTTCTCAGTTTCAGGAGGTCCCATATATTTATTGTTGCTCTCAGTGTCTGTGCTACTGGTGTTATATTTAGGAAAGTGGTCTCCTGTGCTTATAAATTGAAGGCTACTTCCCCTTTCTCTTCTATCAGGTTCAGTGTAGTCAGATTTATTTTGAGGTTTTTAATCTATTTGGACTTGAGTTCTGTGCATGGGGATAGATATGAATCTATTTTCATTCTTCTATATGTTGACATTTAGTTATGCCAACAGCATTTGTCGAAGATGCTTTCTTTTTCCATTGTATAATTTTAGCTTATTTGTCAAAACTCAGGTCTTCATAGGTGTGTAGATTAATATCCGGGTCTCAATTCAATTTCATTGGATGAAAGGGGAAGATGAAAGGTGAAGGGGAGCAGGGAGGAGAACTTGAGGGGACAGTATAGTCAAGATGGGGGAAAGACAGAGACAAAGAGAAAAGAAAGAGATATTTTGATTGAGGGAGCCATAATGAGACTAGCAAGAAAACTGGCACTAGAGAAATTCCCAGGAATTCACAAGGATGATCCCAGCTAAGACCCTAAGCAGTAGTATAGAGGGTGCCCAAACTGGCCTTGCCCTGTAATCAGATTAATGACTATCTTAAATATCACCATAGAATCTTTATCCAGGAACTGATGGAAGCAGAGGCAGAGAGCCACAGCGGAGCACTGGGCTGAGTTCTCAATGTCCAGCCGAAGGGTGGGAGGAGTGAGAATATGAGCAAAGAGGTCAAGATCATGATGGGGATACACACTGAAACAGCTGACCTGAGCTAATGGGAGCTCACCAACTCTAGCTGGGCAGGGAAGGAACCAGCATAGGACCAAACTAGGTCCTCGGAATGTAGGTAACAGTTGTATGGCTGGGCAGACTGTGGGTAGTACCTGGATTTATCCCTATTACTTGTACTGGCTCTTTGGGGGGATACCCTGCTCAGCCTAGATATAGTAGGGAGGTCCTTGGTCCTTCCTCAAAGCAATGTGCCTTAGCCTCTCTGAGAAGTGGGGTAGTGGGGAAGGCAGAGAAAGTATGAGGAGGTGAGGGAGTGGGAACTAGGATTGGTATGTAAAATGAAAAAAAAAGATGGCTTTTTTCTGCTTTTTTTTTAATAAAATAAAAATAGGAGGAAAAAAAGCACTTGCAAAGAAGCTCGCTTTTGTTTTTGCCTGCAGCAGTCCTATTGCAAGTGAGCTCCGAAAACTCTGGACCATTGTGGAGCTGAGCCTGGAGTTGACCACACTCACATCCTAGCTCTTCTGCAACAGCTTAAGCTGGCATACCAAGCATTTGGCTAGATGATGCCCCATCCAACTAACATTCTGACATTGTTTCCTGTCCTAAATTCATGCCACCATTGTCTCAGACTTTTATTTAAGAGTTAGAATTTTTCACTTTGTGTTTGATAGCAACTCATGCCCCCTGTAGAGGTTGGCCACCGTGTTTATTAACATATCAATCACTGCAATGGCTATCTTCCTACCTTCCAAGTTAATAAGATTTAACATTAACAAGACAGACAGTTTTTTGATTCTTGAATCCCCTAAGCTCAATACAGACAACTTAATAACAGATCTTAGATGGAGAAGAGGAAAACAAACAAACAAAACCCTAGTTAGTGGCATAGCTTTGAAACTGGGTACAATCTGATTTCATCTTGTTTGGCGTTTTGATCAGCTTGAGGAGGCAGAACCTTTGTACCTATAATCTAAAGATGTTCTCTGAATGGATGTTGTTGACACCTAAACATGAGGCCTACATATCCTGACACTATGCATAACCCTGAACTCTAAAGCTTTTTAGTGAGTCCACACTAAGAAATGTCTTCTATCTAAAATTTAAAAAAGCAAAAAAAAAAGAAACAAAAAAAAAAACCCAACAACAAAAAACCCTCTTAAATCTGTGTTCTCTTTATCATGTCCCCTATCTCGACTACCCAGAGGCTTGACAGCTTGTTCAGCACCTGAGTGACAGTTGCTCACAACACAGGAACTGGACCCACTCACCTCCCAAAGCTCTGAGAATTCTGTAATCTCCTCTAAGAGATAAGCATTTTTGAGAAGGTTAGCCAATTTCCAGGAGATTAGCAGTTTCTGTGGTGTCCTGTTCTAACCTGATACTGACAGCTCTTCACTGACTTTCTTGAAAACCTTTATTTCACTGCTACAGCATAGCAAAAGAGCTCCGATCTCGTTCCCAACAACAACTAGGGCTTTGCAGGTAGGAAAAATTGTCCCCCATGTATGCCAGTATGCCGGATCAACTGAGGTGTTCAGTCATCTGCCAGGAACAGGTGGAGTCCCTGTTAACACGTGATTCCTGACTAAGAAACGTAGATTTCTTTTGAAACAAAATGAAAGGCTCATTTGGATGGTATAACTTGCATGAGTCTCAGTGTGCTTCTGGATATTCACAGCGAGAGGTGAGGGGAGTGCTCTCAATAGGAGACAGCAGCTAGCTGGGATCTGGAAGCTAAATGATCAGCATGGGGCAAATGATAATCAAAGTTATAGTAAGTCAAAACAGCTAATGCAGTGTATAAATTGTTTTCCCAAAGTGTTCTTTTTCTTTAACAGATATCAGTTTTTCTTTTTGTGGTTCTGGGAGTGGAACCCAGAGCCTCATACACAATAGGCGAGTGTTCTACCACTGAGCTGTCCCCTGCTCTGATTTCTACCTTTGACAGCATAATCCAGTGTGGGTTTATCCTTCAATAATTATTTACCATTAAATATTTGCTCAAGACTTGGGGTGTGACAAAAAATAAAGAGCTGTACTAAGTATAAAATACAGTCATGTTAGGAGGCCACCCTTCAATTGAGAGGTGGACATCCACTCCACAATTAGAAAGTAAAATATTAAATGGCAAAGTAGATAAGGCAGATTAAGGGACTTAAAGTCTTAGAAATCCTTTTTCTCAGAAATCCAACACACACACACACACATACACACGCATGACTCCATTTATCTATCTATCTATTTATATCTATCTATCTATCTATCTATCTATCTATCTAGCCATCCAGTCAAACCAAAGGCCAGATAAAACTGTCAATCTGAGGATAAATTTCTGTGCTCACATGGCCTGGATTGGCCTAGTAAAGCACCTACTGGAAACCGATAACAGTCCCTAATTCACTGAAACAGGTTACAGAGACTCAACCCTAGAGGCCACTGCCAAAGCACCTTCTTTCTTCCTTCTGCTCTCAGTTCAGAAGAAAAAGAGAGCCAGTGGGGGCCTGAGGTCAGGTTTAACACTACATTCTGCAAATTACTTGCCTACTATATCAGTGACATTCTACTTAAAATTCAAGCAGTTGTAAACCTGGCAGGTGCTCTGGCCAAACCAAGCCCACCTCTAAAGTCAATCTCAAGATGGGCTATCAAGAAAGCACTGCCTTAGCCTGGTGATGGTGGCTCAAGTCTTTTATCCCAGGACTCAGGAGGCAGAAGCAGACAGATCTCTGTGAGTTAGATAAGAAAGCACTGCCTTATATAGAGAAAATGAAGTATAGTTGTGGGTGACTCGTGAGTCTGGGAGCCGTGGAGCTCCCAATCTTTCAAGCCTTGGGTTCTTCAAATGACAAACAGGCGTGCTGATTCTCTGCCTCACATGGGTTTAACAACATATGCTTAGCCTAGCAGTTCAGAGGAGAGCAGAGAACGTTCATTTCAGGAAGGAAGCAGAGACTGAAAGGTGTTTTTACATAGTTAGGGTTGACATTCTTCTTCAGTTTAAGAGCTGCTCGATGGGGGACCCTCACAGTGCCCTTTTCGGCACATCCCAGGTAACAGTCCTGCCCACAGCTAAGAGCAACCAGAGGAAGAAAGCCAGGCACCTAGCTGCTGCAGAGTTGGGAATGGGTGTGATATTTAGATGTAAAGACCTTCCTGTGAACCCAAGCGAGGAGCTGCTGTGAACACACCTGGGTCTATTAATCAGCTCAGCCTTCTTCCTATGTCACTTTAATAAGATTATCCTCTATGAACTGCCGAGGGTCCATGGAAGCCAAGTGCTGCAGAGGGCTCTCCGGAAGGACCAGAGCCACTTCCAAATCCGAAGATGGAAACCCCACTTTTTCAAGCAGGGGGCAGACTCTCTTAAGAAAGCTAGACAACTAGTTATAGAACTAGGGGATAAGCAGTGACGACTCCCCCAGGACAAAAGCCTGGGTTTGGTTGAGCTGAAGTACAGAGAGTCTTCCACAGTAGTTGATAGGGGGTCGCACAGACAAAACAACTTTTGATCCTGTTATTGGCACATTTTCTAGTTTCTTCCCTGTTAAATCTATAATGAAAACACACCCTCTCGCTTGATTCCTCAACGTTTGAAATGTAGATTGTCTTCCTAGGCAACTCTGGTATGGCTCCCTTCGACCTACTCCAAACCACCACTCTGCCCCACCCCCAGCCCTGAAGCGCCGCCACCCCAGTTTTTTTCTAGTGGCAACTACTATGAGGCCACCCGCAGTGCACCTACACCAGTCTAGGTCCGAGCTGCAGGCTGAGTCTCAGGTTACCGACGTCGTGACCGCCCGCCTCTGTCTTTATTCCTGGTCTTGCTGGTCAGGACTTGGGCTTTCTCTGGACCTACAGAGTGGGTTCTTCTGAACCTCAAGGCGACCTGGAGCCTGGGGAAGCCTTTTAGGACCAAGGGAAGCCATCGTTTCCATAGTCCGAGGCTAATTCCTGTTCTCCTAGTCCCCAGTGGCAGTCCCCTTTCCCCCCTCCCAGCTTCTGTCGCCTCAACGTTTCCAGACACCCGCCCCGGGCCACCCGCCAGCCGCTATCACTGACGAGGGCACGGCTGGCCTGGGGCAAAGTTGGCGGCCACCTTCGCGCCCTGCTGCTCCCTCTCTCCCTCCTCTTCCTCCCCGGGGGGCCCCCGGTTGCCTCTTCCCTCACGCAAGCCGCCAGGCTCGGTGAACCCAATAGAGCACAGCGGCGCACTCTGGGTCACCCCCTGCTCAGACCAAGCCCTTTCTGCTCCCAGGGGCCAAGAGGACCCAGCTCGGCTAGGGCGGCGCCGCTGCCCCGCGCCTGGCGCTCGGGAACCTTGTGCGCGGGGCAGCCCGAGGCGCTGGCTGCGATCCAGGAAGGGGAGCGGCGGGGGAAGCAGCGCGCAGGGGAGGGCAGAGGCGGAGAGCCACGAGCCCAGGAGCAGAGGCGGGCTCCGCACCGCACCGCGCCCCGCACGCTCGCTGGCTCCCGAGACGCGCGGGCGGCCGCCTGGGCGCACCAGCCGGGTCACCTTGTCCCGGAGGTAAGTCCTGAGAGCCGGAGCGGCGCGGGAAGACCGGGGGCTGCGGGAGTGGGCGGCGGCGACGGCGAACGGGCGGCGGGCACGGGAGGATGCCCTGGCTCAGGCGGGCGGACGCCTCGCAGCTCACAGACCAGGCGGCGTTGTGCCGGCCGCGGTAAGTCCCGTTGGGTCGCCGTAGCCGGACCGGGGAGACACAGTGTCGCCCCGTGAGAGGGGAGATGGCGCCTGGCCGGGAAGATGCAGAGGACAGGAACCAGTACTATCTGCCCGGCTGCACCTTGGCTCCTCGCCACCTTGGGTACCCAGGCGGCGTGAAGGGGCTGCTGTGCGACGTCGGTTAGAGCTAGTGAGTCTGTGAACTGAGTGCGACGGAGCCTGGCAGCTCCGGGCCAGGCCGGGATACGGGAACACCAGCCTAGATGATTCCGATCATTCCCTGGAGCGACCTAGCTGAGTCCAACAGGGGCTGGTGAGCGAGGCACCCGTGGAGCTGGCACTGAAGTCCACATGGGACAGAGAAAGAAAGGGCCAAAGGAAAGGGAAGGTAGAATTCAGAAGGACCTAGATGAAGTAGGGGGCACAAGAAGCTATCTGGACGGAGGACAGGACTTCTAGAGCCCCTTACGTCCGACCTGGAAGAGACCGGGTTTTATGAGCTGTCCGGGCCCTGGCAAGCGCGACAGTCTGCAGCCTTGGAGCCGCCAGTCCTGGCGCCTAGGTGGGGGCAAGCAGATGCGCTAACGGGGTTCAGATACTAATTTGGTTGTCCCCAGGCGAGATTTCTACTCTTCATTCGCGCTCTTCTCTCTGTATAATGGAGAAAGAGTGGGCCACCCATGGAGTTGGAGACTTTCCTTAAGAAAGGGCTTTGGGCATTTGCCTGTTCGGAGGACCCTTCCCTCGGTGTGGGAGCCTTTCAACTGAGTTTTGTGGAGGCAGCGGAGGGGCGCTTGGCTTTATTAGAGGAAAAAAGAAAGGGGTCTTCTAGGAGTCCTCATTTTCTGTGGGGTCTTCTGGCAGCAGAAGCTCAGGCACGGGGCACCTCCGACTTAAAGTGCGCACCACGCTCCTGGCTCCTGCGGTGTTAGCTGTGGTGGTGGCGCCTCTGCGCTGCGGGTAAGAACTGGGCTGCCTGCGCCTATCAGAGCCTCACCAGGTTTTTGGTGCAGCAAACGGTGGTCCCGGCGAATTTGTTGGGGGGACGGACGTCGGTTGGGGCAATACCGAGGGGTTCTTTTTTTCTGTTTAGAATCAAGCAGTGGACATGCGTCTGTGAGGCCCTCTCCTACAGCCCAGTGAGTTTGGTCAGAACCCTAAGCCAGAGGCAGCGAGCTGCGCAGACCTGCAGCTTGAGCCCGGTGACAGCCTCTAACCAAACCTCAGGGCCAGCCAACTTTTCTTTGCCAAGGTGTCATTGCTGGAGCCTCGGGGGTGCGTGCAGAGAAATGGTTTCAAAGAGGAAAAATAGGGTCGCCAAAGTAGCGTCAACAGTCTGGTGTCAGTTTGGAGGATGGGAGTAAGAAACTGAGAGGAATTTTCAGAGGAGCTGCATATCCCTTTGACCGGCCTTTTGAAGTTGCAGACCACAGGTGCGGGGCCTGTGGATGTATAAGAAAGCACCTCTCTTTTTTGCTTCCTTGCTTCGCGCCTTCAAACACTTTGGCCCCTTGCTAGGGTGAGCTTGGCTCTGTCAGTGATCAGGTGCCCTTCTTTCTCACCCTGCCCCCACTGCCTGCCTGTGCAAAGAGGACTCATAAATCAGTTGGCCCTTTTCAGTAAGGGAGAGGACTGCGCCATGGGGGCAGAGGGAGTGAGGAAGCACCTCAAACTTTTCTATTGCAGAAATTTCCAGTGGTATAGAAACGCAGAAAGATGCCCCTGCCCTTTCCTTGTTTCTCGGAGTACTGGATGCCTTGTTTGAATAAAGGCTTCAAAAGCCATGCCCCAAAAGATGGCTGTTTGGGGGAGGGATATGCTAATTAGCTTGGTGCAGTTATTCCACATCACACAGCTAGATCATAGCATCACTTTGCACCCTGCAAGTTTATACAATTATGAATGTATATACAGTAACCAACAAAGCAAATTTATGGGTCGAAAATAATAAATTATATTGCCTTTTCAACTTACTTTTTGAATGACCTAGCAAAGTGATAGGTTTACATATGGAATTTTCATTTTGGTTTTAACCTTAAGAAAAAAAAAGGCATTCTTAGCTGACTTCATCTGTCTGCACATAGTCCTATCTATGTGGCTGATGGCAGTTCATAGCGGGTTGGCCTGACCATCAGAAATAACTGTTATGTGTTTGGTTTCTGTGCTGGATTGAATCCCAGGGTCTCACCACAAATGCTAAGCATGGTTGGGTTACATTTTAGCTCCAAAATATGTTACTAGTGATCCCACTTAGAGCACAGATAATGTTCAAATATGAGGGAAGACATTCCTCTCCCCATTCTTATTAGAGGCGGGGGGGGGGGTGGTGGAAAGACAGCCTGCTATTCTTCCTGGACAAACAGGGAAAGGACATTGCAACAGGAAAGACAAATCCAGTTACTAAGGAAAGGGGACTTTTAAATTTTTCTATACCTATCTATCTGGGGGCATGAGTGATATTTTAGTTGACCAGTTGCCACAAGAACAACAAAATAATTGGGAGAAAAATTGGTAAAAACTTTACTCAGTTCCTAAATATACAATTTTTTCCACATTTAACAGTGACATACATGTGAGGGCTGCAACTTGTCCTTCATATTAGCCTCCTCCAGTGAGTCTTATTTGCCAGGAGACATTTGCTTATGTAAGTTTTCTCTGAGACACCGTCTCTGCTGTTGCCGTTGCAGGGCTCACTGGGAAGGCTGCATTCTCGAGGGGTGCATTGGGAAGCCTTGGATGGCCTTCCTGCCATGCTTACTAGGCCCTCAGAAGAGGCGTCCTGCCTGGGATTTGGTACCCAGTGTGATTTTCATACTGTAGAGAGGTGCCACACATACCAGAGAAGGCCGGGGGGGGGGGGGTTGCAGGAGGAATGTCTTCCCTTGCAGACCCCTGCTGTACACCTCTGTATTTTCTTTGGGATAAGAGTCATCTCTGAGAATGTCAGTGGAGTTCTGGGAGCTGGGTAGACTTCGGAATGCCTTCATGAAGAGCGCTGTAGAAAGGGATCCTTGGTTAACCTTTTGTTAAGTGGACAACTGTCATGTCGGTGAGTGCTTTCACCACGTCCTCCCAGATAAAACCTTGATATGTTTGTGTTATGCCAGTGCAGGCCCCTTTCTCACATTGTCCCTTCCAAGTTTCCCCTGCCCATTGGAGAACGCAGATCCCCAGGGATGGCAGGCACTGGCACAGTATTGCAACCTGTGGTTTGAACAATGGCAGATGTTAGACACACTATGAGACGGGAGGCCAAGGGGTCCATTTGTCAGTATCAGCTGGTAGGAGCCGGGGACACTGGAATGCTCCATGGGGCCGTTTTACAGACATACGCTCGTGTGAGATGTTCCAAGGGCCATAGCTTGTGAGCTCGTTTCACTGCACTGGGGACATTGAGGCACAGTGTCCAAAAGGTGAAAATACTAAAAACATTGAAGGCAGGCTACTCAGTCTCTTACCCAGGCCACCAGAACTGTAATAATGAAGAGCAGCAGGTAGTTTTAGATGTGAATTTTTAACATTCTCGGCGCAAGACTCTTGCGTGTTTCAAATTATTGCTGAGAGTTTGGAAACCTATTTTAATTGGAGGCTGTGAGCAATCGAGCAGCACTCTGCGACCCAGTTCCCTGGCCATCGTTTCTTACAAACACTGGTGTTCTGGAGGCAAAGGGAAGAGTGAGTCTTCTGTCCCCTGGCTGTCTCTCTGTCCCTGCAGAACTTTCAGAAGCAGTGGAAAGGTTGGTGTTCCAAAGTCTGGGCTTTCCCACTGAACTTTGAATGGGTTAGAGAAATCTCTTAACTTTCCTGAGATTCTGTTGCTTTTCCATCACATGCTTCTCAGGATTTTAAAACAAAACATTTAAAAACATCACCACTGTTTGCTAAAGAAAGGAAGCGCTAGGTAAAGGACGCCCTTCAGTCTGATCTTAGTTGCTGTTCTATTGTAGTCACCACGACCGCAGTAATTCTTAATAAGGATAGCATTTTATTGAGCTTTCTCACAGTTTCAGAGGTTTAGTCCATTATCAGCAAGGCAGGAAGTATGGTTGCATTCAGACAGACATGGTGCTGGAGGAGCTGAGCATTCTACATCCGTATCTACAGGCAGCAGGAAGGAGCAATGAGAAACTGGATCTGATTCTGGCTTCTGAAACCTCAAAGGCACCCGCAGTGACATACTTCCTCCAACAAGACCACACCTACTAAAGCTTGCAAACAACCCCACTGCCAATTCCCTAAGCATTCGAATATAGGAGTCTGTGGGGGACCATTCTTATTCAAAGCACAGCACAAGTCTTAACTGACTGTTTCTTTTGGGCATGTTTTCAGTAACTGACTAGATGAGAAAACAGAATGGGCCTGCCTTTCCTGTATCTGTATCTTAGAACTACTGGTCATCAGGAGTTCCAGGAGGACAGGTGTGTCCACTTCCTGAAGGCAGCCCAGCTGTCCCACAGGAATGTGTGTGAAACGGTCAACAGTCTTGTGTACTGAAGATTTTCAGGGACCACGGAGACAGACACGTGAGCAGTAGTGTTGAATACAGCTAACTTAGCGAAAAGTGGATTCCTATCACATTACAGAACTTTCCCGACTCATTGCTTACAATTCATTGCCTAAACCATCATGTCAGATTACCAACAAAAGCCAGCCACCGTGTGGGACACATGATGATTTAGACTATCGCGATGATTTAGGTTGTGTACATGACACAGTCTAAATCATTGTAAGTCTCCATGTGACAAAGAATCTATTAAATCTGTTACCCAAAATAAAGTAAAATAAGGCAGTCAAGAAAAACAATGAATGAGCATTGGGATTGGAAGATCAGTTAGAACCAAATA